TGCTTCAAGCAAATTTAAAGCCCATATAAATACCAACTTTCAGTGACATTACTGGGGATGGAAATTAGAAGTACTGGCTACTAGATAGATAGACTTACTAAAACAAAGCGCAACAAAACTTTAGTTTTGTTCCTAGTTATCTTGTAAGTACTTTAGAGATCAACCCCGACTGCTCTTTAGAAGGCCAGATCCTGAAGTTGAAACTCAAATACTTTGGCCACCTAATGAGAAGGAAGGACTCACTGGAGAAGGGCCTAATGCTGGGAAAGATTGAGGGCAATAGAAGAAGGGGACGACAGAGAGTGAGATGGCTGGATGGAGTCACTGAAGCAGTAGGTGTGAATTTAAATGGACTCCAGGGGATGGTGGAGGACAGGAAGACCTGGAGGAGCGTTGTCCATGGGGTCGCGATGGGTCGGACACGACTTCGCAATTAACAACAACAACAATATTAAGTTTTCTTGGAAAAAGATCTTTTAAAATTTATTTTGAAAATCACAAATGGATGACTATGATGTATCATTGACTTATATTCTTCTATCAAGAATTCAGCAATCTCTTCAACATAGATCATTACATATTTTCCATCAAATAGCTAAGATCTTTATACATTCTTGGGCAAGATGGCCATTTCAAATTGATAAAATTACAACTGGTATAAAAGCAGAGGATTTAAAGAATTTTTTCTTCCTCATAATATTCAGTAATGCAAATGGTGCTGTAAGAAAATATTAGGGACAAAGATTGCATATACATAAAAACATCACAGAAGTAAAATAATATTGATGAATCTGAAAATGTTATACAATGAGAAGCAAATTTGGATATTTTTCTTCAGAGGAAGACTTGTTCTTCAAGCTAGTAATTGCAGTCTCACCAGTTTTTTTTAATTCTATCAGGAAGGAAGTTATGAGTTTGGTGTATGTCAGGGAGTCTGAAGAAATAGCCTGTCTATCTGTTTGCATTGGTTTCTGCTATGTTTCTGAAGTTGGTGGATTAAATGAATGACGGTTCTTGAAAAATGATGAAACATTTTAGGATCTTAATGCAAAATGATTCTATTGTTTTAGATTTTGTTGTAAAATTCCATTTAAATCAGGGATAGGGAACTATGGCTCTTTCATGACTTGTGGACTTCAGGTGGCTCAGGAATTCTGGGAATTGAAGTCCCCAAATCATAAAGAGGCCATAGTTCCCCACCTCTGAATTTGATGAATGATGGCAAATAAGGTAGAGCAGGAAATAGTTTATGGATGGGGAGAAGACTAAAGGTGAAATTTGATATGAAAATGGCTGCAGCACATTTAAACCTAGGGATGTCTTTAAAAGGGGAAATAAAAGATTTAAAAAGAGATTAAGTCCCCTTTTATTGGTTGGTAGCTATGATGACAAGACATAGTATTTCTTTAAATACCAATTGCTTGAGAGCCAGTGATATCTACAGTTTTGTCTTGCTTATGGATTTCATGCAACGATGTAGGTGGCTGCTGTGAGAAACAGAATCCTAAATTAAGGTCTCTTTTCTCTGAACCAACAGCAATTTAATTTTTTTCTTCATAGATTCATATTATTTCATCAGTTAATGAATTGATTTCATATGAAGGCCCTATTTTTTAAAAAAAATATGTATTCACATAAAATGCTAGTTTATGATGAATAGAAATTTAATTTACTGAATTACTTCAAATTTCTGGGTTTCTACAGTATACGGGCCATACAAAATAGCACCCACATATCTTAGCCTGGGCTGTTGTTCAAATTTAACCAATGTGGGAATTGTCAATTACAATTCTTTCAAAAAATCCACAATTGCAAATAACATTTTGGAAAATATATATATTTAAATGTATATTAATGTTTTAGAAGATAAAGGGGGGTGGTGACTATGATCCAAGTATTAAGATTAATTTTCCTCTTATTTGGGATCCAAAAATTTATAGCCCTGATTTGGAAAATGAAGTGATAATGAAACCTCATGTGAACTTTAGTCAGAATGAATGGGGTGGCCATTAAGATACAGATGAAAACAGCTTTTAAGTAATAATGTTCTCATTACCTCAATTATTAATGTTAAAAATATCTTAGCAAGACATCTGAATATCTAAATCCAATGTTGGATATATTGACTACTTTTTTAAGAGTTTTTACTTTTGTTACTATTAGTAAGAAAAGTAAAAATTCTAAAAAGTATTCAATATATCCAACACTGGATTTAGATATTCAGATGTCTTATTATTTTTAACATGAGATTTATTAGCTGTCCAACTCCAATGGAGGATTTGGGGGTTTTTTGGCACCTAGGTTGGGTTCATACAATATATAATACAATAACTTTAAACCCTGTACGAAACAAAACAAAATGTCCACGTGAGATGTTATGCACAACATGTTAGATGTTAATTAAATACCTTATTTATTTATTTATTTATTTATTTATTTATTTATTCATTCATTCATTCATTCATTCATTTATACTATTACCTAGTGTTCATGTCAGAATAGTGACTCTGGGCAACATAAAAAGGTAAAAACACAGATTACAGATCCAAATAATAATATCTGAGGTCAAAAACTGTAATCCAACCAGTAAAATACAATATTAACTAGCAGAGCTTGTGTATCCTCAAGCCTGAATTCCTGGGTGGAATACCCAGGTCTGCAGTGCCTTACAAACTCAATTTTTATCTAATTTACTGCATTTTTTGAGTCTATCCTTAATACTCAAATGATAACATAATCCAACTGAGTGAAGAAGTCCTGGTTTCCTTTGTATGGCAGCCATTCAGAGATTTGAAGAACGTATCTGAGAGACTGCTTGACTCTAATTGTTTCTTCTTGCTCAGTGTGGGCCAGCAGAGTAGGTACACTCCAGGTTCCCTCCATTCAACACTGTCCTCTTGTGATACCTAGGAAGTATACCTTTTCTGTTGCAGCTCATACCCTTTAGAACAGCACTTCCCCAGAGATAAAAATGGTGCCTTCTTTCCTAGGGTTCTGGGCAACTTTGAAAAGTTGGCTTTGGTCCCAGGCCTAGGGTTGATGTTTATTATTTGTTAAAGGCTCATGTTTTATTTTGTTTATGTTGGTGTCCGTTGGATCACTTTAGTCTGTGCTGCCTGTCTGAATTAATATTTTTAGCTGCTTTAATATTTTTTTCTAGTTTGTACATGACCCAGAGTCTACTGGAATGGCCAATAAATGTAAATAAATTTCCCAACTCTTTTTAAATCTAAATATTCCTTCAACATTTTTTAATAAAATATTTTCCTATACTTGACTGTTCTTTCTCTTCTCTTTCTCCAATTAATCTATGCCTTTCTGAATTATTATATCCAAAACTGGGTGTAATATTCCACATGGGTCTTACTAACGTGTCAATAGAATGCAGTCTAAAATCACTGCAGCATATTAATATTTTCTGAAATCACATCTATTTTTGCAACTATGAAAGGCACTATCCTCATTTCTTAATTCATCTTACTAGGGCCCAAAAAAAGCTGTTGGGGAGGATGTTTTTGGGTTATATTTGCAACATGTACATATGGCTCATTTTGCTTCAGTGCATCTTTGATTAGTGATTCTTTGTACTCTCTTAAAGGAGATAATATTTTGCCAGCATTTTGAAACAAAAATGGCAGTATAATGGGACATAACAGTACAATACAGAATCTGTTGAATTGTAACATGTGTCTGTTATAAAATTAAATCCAAATTCCATTGCCATTAAATTTTTAAATCATTTTTTCGGGGGATTGTGTGGCAAGCACATAAACTCCAAGAAAAGGTGCAGGTTACTTAAGAGTTGTTGAGGATACTACATGAGTACCTGTCTGTGTGTCCTAATCATTATTTCCCCTTCATCACGTGTGCAACAGAAATTTGAAATATCTATATCTACTGAAGTAGAAGACTTATGTTCCATTAATAGTGCATTGGGGAGTTTGTAGAATAGAAAAAAAAGAGAGTCTCGATAAAGAATTATGAACTTTCCCTTTTTCCCATGTTGTTTAAATAAATACATTCAAATAAAATAACAGAAATTGACAATATTTTTGTCCGTGTCTGTCTCAAATCCATAGGTGTTGCCACATTTTTTTGCAAAAATGTGAAATAAATATTTCAGACAGGAAATCAGAATTGCACAAATTTCTGTTTATAGTTTATGTGTATCAGTACTTTAAAGACATTAGAAAAAATAAATGTTTTATTTAAGGAGATTTCTTTTAAAAAGTCAAGATCATTTTATAGAACAATATTAAGAAAGAATATATAGATTCTATAACTACTGATTTATTAGTTTTTGTTTATCATTATTATCTGACAACAAAACAAAAATAGTAGGGAAAATAATATTTCAGTGATTCCAATGGAATTACTAATTTTCAACATGATCTGATAAAATCATGGTCAAATAAAAGCTACATTGCAATAAATTGTCTGTCTTTTTCTGAAATTCATAAGGTTGTAACAGTCATATTCTCATGTCTTTTTATGTTTGGCATGTAATGTGATGTTAGTAGTACCAAATCTGTAAAATCTTACATATTACATATACAGAATACAAACACATGCACACAAACATAAACATTATCTTGCACTTATCATATATATATATATATATATATATATATATATATATATATATATATATATATATGTATATATATTGTTCGTTTGGGATTTCTGCTTTTTCCAAATAACATGCTAGTGAGTAAAGCATATAAAGGCAGGATGATAGAAATGCAAAACCTATTATATCTTTGTCTATCCTTCCTTTCACCTTTCCTTTGCTGCACTATCTTGTCTGTCTGATCCTCACAGGAGACATGGACTACAGCTGGGACCATACATCTTGGCATAGCAGTGAGGCATCCCCAATGTCTTTGGTGAGACATGTGGAGCCTTACCATTTAGTTTCCTTTACCATTTCATGTTTTCTTTGTTTTATTTACATCTCAGCATGTTTTCTTTCTTGTATCCTTTTTATCCCATGCCTGTAGGGGACAGTCAAAGGGGAAAAAGAAAAACTAGTGAGCAGGCAGTTTTGTCGGACTCTAACATCTTATCTGAAAGACAAAAGAAAATGGTGTGTTTTGGTGGCCAGTCTTTGGAAGAGGACTTGGAATGGTCTGAACCTCAGATTAAGGACTCTGGGGTAGACACTTGTAGTAGCACAACTCTAAATGAGGAACATAGCCATAGTGAAAAGGTATTGGCTTTGTGGTGCCTGCATTTTAATCTGCTCATTTGGTCTTTGTTTGCTCTCTGTCACTCATTAAAACAGATCAAGAATACAAAGGCAGGTCTAATCTAACATTTCTTGAGGTGCAGAAAAGAAAAACAAAACCACAATTATGGATTACATCCAAAAGTATAAGGAAGAACAAAATTATCCAGGCACTAAAAAGAAACATTGCTTTTATGGACATGCAATATTATTTTGGTGATATTATCTTTATGATTAAACAATGAGAATTATTTCTGAATTGGCATGTTTAATTACCACTTTAATGCCCCTGGGGTTGGAAATTAAATTAATAGTTTAATTCCCAGGTTGAAAAAAATGGGAGAGGGGGAATTGTACCTATTTGGACAGAATTGTTTTTCTTTTTTCCCTTTCATTGCCATTTCATTTGTTTTGTCACCGTGACATTATCTGCATTATGGGGTAGTAGTTGTATCTGCTGTATGTGGTTTATTATTGCTCTTTCTTGCTTTCTCTTGTAGGCTTTCACTGTTGCCAAATGTAATGTGCATGTTTATTTGTGTAGTTGTGAGAGCATGAAGCTAGTACATTATGTGACAAAGTGCTATGATTATACAAAACCAGTGCTAAGTTTGAAATCATTGGCTAAATTTTCAGAAATACTGACATGTACTATTCTGGAACCTATGTGAAGTAAATAAGAATTAAGTGTTCAGTATAACTAAGAGAAAATTTTAAATTATTAGTTTATTTAAATGAATTTTAGATACTGAACATGGTGGGATTTATTTTCAAGTAATACATGGCTTTTTAATTACTTAAGATCATATCTCATTTATTAACTTTTAAATTATTTTTTGTGCTAGATCCCCCATTCATACTCTCTATATTCAGAAATGATGTTCACTGTTTTCAAATCCATAATGATAGGCTGAATTGGTGTTCAGTGTGTAAGAATAATTTAGGTACATTTGGAATAGTTATTTGGGAAGATGTGAGAAATGACTTCTGATAATCTAATGGAATGATAGGAATTCTGATTCCTATCTTTAAAAGCAATAATAGTGTAATCATAGCTATTTCACAGTACTTAATAGTGCCAAATAAATGTGATGCTGGGATTCCTTTTCACAAATTTAATTTTGCTGATTTTTATTTTGTTTAATGTATACTATAGCATCCTGTAACCTGGCAGCCATCCAAAGATGGAGATGGCTTAATTGGCCGAATTTTGTTAAATAAGCGCCTAAAAGATGGAAGTGTGCCTAGAGATTCAGGAACAATGCTTGGGCTTAAGGTAAGTAGTCAAAATTTTCAGTTCAGATGCAAATATTTTTTATTAGAAATAGTTGTTATTATTTTTTATATATCTTAACACTATTTTTCAAAACAAAGATACTACTTACAACCAATTAACGAAAAATGCTTAGTCATAAATTGAGTTGGATGGCCAATAAGTTTGAATAAATAAATATTCTCTAGACACTTTATTTTTTCTTGTCATAGATTTATTAAGAACTGTTAATTAATAGTTACTTAAAATTAACTAATTAATTAAAATTAAAGGATATTGCAACTCTTCTCTGGGAGTTGCATTAGTCGCCAGTTTCCTTCTGGATTTATTTATGGTGCTGGTAATACTATATAGTCCTATGTGACATAGGGCTGGGTTATTTGAGGGATTGGCTCTCTGTGGTTACAACTACTCACCCCATCAGGTCTGGGAGAAGGGGCATTTACGGGTCCCACGTAATAAGGAATATTATCTGATGGGGCCCAGGAGGAGAGCCATGTCTGCTGCGGTACCTGCCCTATGGAACATCATTCTCCACAAGGTTAGATTGGTTGTAACTCTGTTGGCCTTCCAAAAGGGCTTGAAGACATGGGCTTGTCATCATCTCTGGGGATCCAGTGATGGTATGGAGTCTGCAGAACGATAGTACTATTAGTAAAATGGCTTGCACTCTCCTTCAATTTGTTTTTATGGATTTTAATGGTTTTTACTTGTTTAAGGTGTGTCTTAATGGTTTTTGTTCCTAATATTTTGATAATTTCTTTGTTTTGTTTTGTTTTTTTTAACTGTGAGCTGTCCAATCACATATGTGAGATAGGTGGCAATAAAATTTGAACAAATAAATAAAATTTTAATAACATCAAAGTATTATCAATTCAAAATCTTTTTGAACCTCAAAACAGTTCAAAAAGAGTATTTGAGCAAATTTGGAGCAGGTTTGCAAGAAAAGAAGAAGTTAGAATGCAAAGACAGAAACATTGCAAGAATGTGTACGTATGTAACATTGAATGCAGGCCCTTATTCACTTAAATTTAGGTTAGCTGAACTCAGTTACCATAAATTTAAATGAATATAGGTTGCTCAATAACTTCATTTGATCAGTTATATTTAGTGTGGCTTAATATAGACTAGAAATATTGTGCATCATTTTCATATGTGGCTATATTTAGTATATTTAGCCTGAACTGCCCAAAAGTGTTATACATAATTATTTACATAAACATCACAGATTAAATTTTTGATCATCTTTCCTTGACAATATAGCTGGAAGCAATTGGAGAATAAAACTCAATCCTTCAAAATTGAGAAATACAGATGCTACATATGTCATGCTCTCAGTTGTATGAATTTCATAAATACATTTTATGGGAATTCAGTTCCCACTAAGGGATTTGAGCCCCATTGAAAGATCATGGCTACAGATGTGCAATAACTTATCTAAAGAATGAAAGTTATGTACTGCTCCCTGATGGTCTCTCTAAGTAAAAATACCACACAAAGTAATAATGAATTCCTCCCCTCTGAGGCTAGGGAAGTCATATCAAACTTTGTAAATGAGGGCATGTAACACCTGATCTCTCTGGTCTGAGAGCTTAATAAAAAGATATAGTTATGGCTCTAACAGGACTTGCTTCTGTGGTTGAGAAGTTGGACTCTAGAGTGGAAGAAGTTGCAGATAAGGTGGAGGTTCTGGAAGATAGATTTGAAGGTATGGAAAAAAGGATGGAAACTTCACAAGATGATATTGTTATGTCTCAATATAGAGAAATGGAGTTCGCTTTAAGAATCGGGGCTGAGAGAAGACATGCAACAAGATTTGAGAGAGATTGTAGCAAATGACTTTGCTGTCATTTTGGACAGAGAGAAGGAGGAAATATTTAGAGAAATTGAAAAAATATTTAGAGTCAATTCTTGGATTGCAAAGCAAAGAAATCTGCCAAGAGATGTGGTAATCTATTTTGGGAAGATATCTCTGCGTAATGAAATTATACAAGCTTTTTATAACAAGAGGTTTCAGATTGCTGCTCAAGATGTTATTATTTTAAAGGAGATTCCATCTAAAATTTTAAGAAGAAGAAAAGAGTTTGCTTTCTTAGCCGATGAACTTAAAAAAAGATTGATGCCATTCAGATGGGAGATTCCGATTGGTATCGTGGTGAGTCATGCGGGGATACGTTATAGACTTAATACTGTTTCTAAAGCAAAGGAGTTTTACAAGTCGGTCCTGGGAGCATGCTCACCACCACCTATGATGCAGAAAGTTTCGGATGGCAAGGAGGTGGAACAGCAGTCTGAAGAAGTAGTATTGATGGATAGTGGAAAATTACAGGCTGAGTGGTTGCAACAAGCAGAGATGAAAGAGCAAAGAATGACCCGGGCAGCCCATAGACGTAAGGAAAAGGAACAACAGAAGAAAGATGTTAAAGAGGTTCTACAAGAAATGGCTTCGGTGCCTGTGGGAGGAGCAAGACCTAAGAGCTCTGCAGTACATTCTTCAATGGCAGATCTTCAAGCAGTCTTCTCCAGGCTTTTGGTCAAGGGAGATGGTAAAGCTCCTGACATGGAATGCTAATGGCCTCAACTCCCCTCAAAAGAGAAAGAAGATATTTCATTACTTAAAGCAACATAACAATGATATTATTTGTTTGCAGGAAACAATATTATTTCTAAGGATCAAAAATATCTAGTTAACGCTCGATTGGGATCTCATTTTGCATCTTCTGCTCCTGGGAAAAAAGGGGGAGTAGTTATTTATGTTAAGCAAAATCTATCAGCCTGTTTAGTAGAATCTGATTCTCAAGGGAGATATGTTATGATTGAAGTGGGTTTGTATGGTAAGAAAGTACTTATAGTGGAATTGTATGCACCAAATCAACAACAGGAACAATTTTATAGATTTTTACATCAAAAACTAACTTTGTTGGATTATAGATCTGTTATATTAATGGGAGACTGGAATGGTGTTTTAGATATATAAAGAGACAAAAAAGGACCCTCTATTTCTTTTAAACAGGCTAAATTACCTAAAGCTTTTTTTGACTTGAAAGAGGATTGGGAGCTGCGAGATTATTGGCGTGAACATAACTTGGAGGAGAGAGACTTTACCTTCTTTTCGGACAGACATCAGTCTTTTTCAAGAATTGACTTTTTCTTGATTACAACCGATTTATATTTTAGGGTAAAGAATGTTAAGATTTTCCCTAGGACATTGACGGATCATAGTCCAGTTTGGATGGAACTGGTTGATGAAAAAGAGGAGAGGAGATCTTGGAGGATGAATGAAAATTTATTTAGACAAGAAAAGAATGTTCAAAAATTAAAGGAGCAATTAAAGGATTATTTTGCTTTAAATATGTATAAGGGAACTTCAATGTCAATGGTCTGGGATGCAGGTAAAGCTTATATGCGGGGGATTTTGATACAAATGAATAAGGTTCATAGACAGAAGCAGGTGCAGAAACGTAAAGAGTTGGAAGATGAGATTAAATTAAAAGAAAAAGTTCTGATTTTAAATCCCACAGATGAGAAGATTAAGGATTCTATAAAATTGCTTAAATCACAATTTAATATGTTGATGGCTGATCAAACTGCAACTAATTTATTGTATATGAAACAAAATACATTTTGTAATGCTAATAAACCAGGGAGATGGTTGGCTTATCAATTGAGAAAGAAGCAGAGACAGAGAACTATAGATAAAATAAATTATAATGGTAAGTTGGTATATCAGAAGGAGTTGATTAAGAAATCTTTTTTAGATTATTATCAAAAATTATATATGAGTACTAAAGTACAGGTTTTAGATATAGACAATTATTTAAAAGATGCTAATTTTCCTAAACTAACAGAAGATCAGAAACAAGAAATTAACGGTCTGATTACTAGTGAGGAAATTGAGACAGTAATTAAAGAATTAAAATTAGGTAAAGCACCGGGTACGGATGGATTGACATCTATTTATTATAAAGCTTTGGTACAAGAGATGATTCAACCTTTAAGGGAGCTTTTTAATAATATATTACTGGGTTCAGAGATCCCCCCGTCATGGGGTAGAGCTTTTATATCCTTGATTCCAAAAGAAGATCAAGATCTCACTTTACCAAAGAATTATAGACCTATATCTCTTTTAAATGTAGATTATAAGATTTTTTCGAAAATTTTAGCTAATAGACTCATGAGGGTCCTGCATCATGTAATACATATGGATCAAACGGGTTTTATAACTGGAAGGTATATGAAGAATAATGTTAGACAAATTATTAATTTATTAGAATATTTAGATAAAAACAATCAAATTTCTGCAAGATTGATATTTTTAGATGCTGAAAAAGCTTTTGACCAGCTGAACTGGCAATTTATGTTAAGATTAATTGAGAAAATGAATTTTGGAGAAAAATTTTTACAAGCTCTTTGTGTTATTTATCAAAAGCAAACGGCACAACTTATAGTTAATGGGGGTTTGTCAGAGATGTTTTCAATAGAGAAGGGGACTAGATAGGGTTGTCCATTGTCACCATTGCTGTTTGTTCTAACTTTGGAAATTTTGTTGATTAAAATTCGAGAATCACAGCAAATAAAAGGAATAGAAGTTAACAAAAAAGAATATAAATTAAGGGCTTTTGCAGATGATTTGGTTGTTACTTTATCTCAACCTACTTATTCTGTAATAGAGTTATTACAATTGATACATCAGTATGGACAGGTTTCGGGTTTTAAAATTAACAATAATAAGACTAAAATATTGCCTAAAAATATGACTAACTTGGATAAGGAGACCTTGGTTAGGTTGACAGATTTTGAGGTTGTTAACAAGGTAAAATATCTGGGGGTTACTTTATCTGTTTCTAACGCCAAATTGTATAAAAATAATTATGAAAGGTTGTGGGTCAAAATACAAAGAGATTTGGAAAATTGGGAGAAGCTGCAATTATCTCTTTTGGGGAGAATTGCGGTGATTAAAATGAATGTTTTGCCAAAGTTTCTTTTTTTATTTCAAATGATACCCATTTTAAAGAATGAGGTTAATTTAAATGAATGGCAGAAAGGTATCAATAAATTTATCTGGGCAGGGAAAAAACCAAGAGTAAAACTTAAAATTATACAAGATATTCGTGAGAGGGGTGGACTCAAGGTACCGAATTTGAAATTGTATTATGATGCTGTGGCTTTAACATTAATTAGTGATTGGGTTAATTTAACAAATGTAGAAGTACTCCTCTTAGAGGGTTGGGATTTGCTTTTCGGATGGCATGCCTATTTAATTTTCAATAAAAAGGTTGACAGGGTTTTTAAATTTCATATCATAAGGACTTCTTTACTTTGGGTTTGGAAGAAATATTATAGAAATGATTTTAAAATTCCATTATGGCTATACCATGGCATGCGACAGAAGGGATAAGGAGAGGAGTCAAGATGGATAGTGTTTCTTATGCATAATTACTTAGATAGGATGGTAAAAATTGGCAATTAAAATCTCTGAAGATTTAACACAAGAAAATATTGTTTATTCATGGTTTCAGTATAGACAAATAGTAGAGAGGTGGAAGATAGATAGTAATTTGGGTTTGCTTAGAGAAGATGAGAATTTGTTAAAACAAATAAAAGATCAAAGACGAAATCACATTAAGAGAATTTACGGGGTGTTAATAGAGTTGGATTCAGAAGCAGAATTAGTTAAAGAATGTATGGTTAAATGGGCACAAAACTTTGAGGAACCGGTTTTATTAGATACCTGGGAGATTATTTGGGTGAGGAATGTTAAATTTACACACGCCCAAAATTTAAGGGAAAACTTTTATAAAATGTTTTATAGATGGCACCTTGATCCACAAAAAATGTCTTGTATGTATCCTGACTTGCAGCCTAAATGTTGGAGATGTGGATGTTTGGATGCTACTTATTACCATATCTGGTGGTTATGTAAAAATATAAAAGCTTTTTGGATTAAAATATGGTGGAATATTCAAAGAATTTTCAGAAGAAGGATAAAATTTACCCCACAATTGTTTTTGTTAGGTATTGTTTCTGATTGTGACAGTAAAGAGATTATATTGATGTTAAATTTAATTACAGCAGCCAGGTTGTTAGTAGGGCAATGTTGGAAGAAGGAATCTTTGCTTACATTGCAAGAATGGTTTTTTAAAGTTTCTTATTTGGTGGAAATGGCAAAGGTTTCGGCTTTCTTGAAAGATCAATCGCAGGAGAAGTATCTCCTGGTATGGAAAAGATGGATAGATTTCATACAATATAAGTTGGATATAAAAAATATTACTTAGTTTTTGAATAATTTATAATTAAAGTTTAAGATATTTTTTAGATATTTTCTTTTTTTTTCTGTTTTTTCTTTTCTTTCTTCTTGTAATTTTTTATATATTGTTGTTAATTATTTTATAATTTGTTTAATTAACGTATTTAGATTTGTTTATGGTTTATAAGTGTTTCAAGATTTTTTATTTATTTTTTTTTAATTAAGCCTGTATTCAGCTCTGGGAAGATTGGGGGAGGGTAGGGGAGGGGTGGGAGGGTGTGGGGGAGGGGAATCTTTTCTTTTTGTAAAACCTAAAAATTTTCAATAAAAAAAAAGGGAAAGTGGACTCAATATACCATTCTAAAGGTAGTTCTTGCAATTTATTATTTTGCCTGCATCTGTCACAGTCTTTGTCCCAAGTAGCTGATATAGTTACAATCCCTACTATTTTTTTGAGCAAATCTCAGGTAAATAAATTGGATGGCAATATATAATTTTGGTGTGATCTATTCCCAGTTTTGAAGCATTTAGTTGCTTAATATTCTGTTCTTATTTGTGGCTTCCTAACCATCATTCACATTTTTGAATAGGCAGATGAAATGATCCATTTCATTTATATTTTTAATGGTTATCCACAATTTGTTGCCAACTATAATCAAAATGTTAGTGAAAAACAAAAATAAAAAATAGACATCTCTGTTACCTTTTCAATTATTCACTGAATATTGGTAGTGTGATTCTGGTTATCTTGCCTCTTTTGAATCAAGATTGTACATCTAGTAGTTTTCTTTCAAGTATTGTTGATGTCTGCATTGCAAAATCTTGAAGGTTAGTTTACTATCATGTGAAATAAGTATAGTTGATTAGTAGTTTGAGCATTCTTTAGCACAGTACTTTTTGATATTGGAATACACATTTATACTTTTCAATCACTTGGCCCCTGCTCACTTTTCCCTATCTACAAATTGTCACTTGCACTTTAATTACTTCATCTTGCAAAGTTTAAAACACTTCTGCTAGTATTTCATCAATTCCTATACCTTGTAGTTTGCAGTATTTTCTAGGACCCATTTAACTTCACTTTTATTCAGTGGTATATATTAATTGAATTAGGGATATTTTTTTCTACAGTTCTTCAATATACTCATATGGTACTATCTCTTCTGCATATGTTCTTTCTTTAGTAGATCTCTCTCTCTCTCTCTCTCTCTCTCTCTCTCTCTCTCTCTCTCTCTCTCTCTCTCTCTCTCTTTGTGTGTGTCTGTGTGTAACCCTTTTTTCTCATGGATGCACTGTGCAGGTTGCTTCCCCACAACTATAATTTAAACATTCAAAGTTAAAGTTTAAAAAAAATTGGAAAAAATGCACTAAGGTTCCATTACATGCTTTTAAATATAGTTTGGATTGAGTTACAGTGTTACAAACTGAATTGTTTGATGAAATTATGCATAGATTTCTGGGCATTTACATATGTGTATGCAAAAAAATGTTTTAGTTGTGGAAGTGATAAATTTTCTCTCATCATAACAGAGGACTTAAATACAACTTACAACCATTTGTTTAGTTACAATGGCACTGAAAAAAAGTGACATTACTGAGCCTCGCACTTACAACTGCATTCCTGTGGCCACACGATCAAAATTTTGGCACTTGGCAATTACAATTAGTGACCGCAGTTACATTTGCGGTCATTAAACAAGGCAGTTGATAAGTGAGGATTACCTATATGTTCAATTTTTGTCCAAATACGATATAAACTATAGAGAACCAATTTGCATTAGCAATAATATACAGCTCATATTTATATGTTCTGTATATACACAGAGCTTCTGTATATAAAATTGGTCATTAGCTTGATGGAAGTGTAACCTGATTGAACTAACAGATCTGAACTAAACTAGCTAAAAATATTTCTGGAAAAATACCCATAAGAAAGTACTGGCCTTATTTGTTTAATGTCCTGATCAATTAAGTCTAATATATTTGATGTAAGTATGGGTACCAAATTAAAACTGATCTGAGGAAAAAAGACCTCTGTGAACCTTTAAAATATTATTTTAATCATATGTTTAAACAGGTAGTCGGAGGAAAGATGACAGAATCAGGTCGACTGTGTGCATTTATCACCAAAGTAAAAAAAGGAAGTTTAGCTGACACAGTTGGACATCTGAGGCCAGGTATGAGAACTGTTCAAAATTTTATAATTAAGAAAGAATTTTAGACTAGTTTAATATATGTAATCAATACTAGGATGCACAACTGTATTATTAAAAACCTTTCCTCTTAACAGTATATTTTTTATTTTGTTGCAAAATTTGAGATGATTCATTCTTAGGATTTTTCAGCATATGTGATGGGTATATTTTTTATAATGACAGTTACAATTATGGCAGATAAATAAGAAACAAATGATAATGGTGAGAAGGTATGATATTCCATATCTGTTATTTAGTTGAAAATAATGATATGTGACTTAGAAAATATTTCTCTGGGCATTTTAATATTTGGTCATATTCAGAAACTTCTTCAAGTAACTAGTCCCTGATAGCTTACGGTTTTAAAGCTAAAACAATGTTTTGAATTGAGCATAGTAGCAAATAGTGACAGTCTATTTAATTTTTAAAAAATTAGAATTAAATTTGCCATTTAAATTATATGAGGAAAGAGAAAATATTTTAGATAGTAAAAAGAAAACAGAGACATTTCTCTGTTTCTCATAGAATCACGTCTACTTGGTGTCTGAGATAACATTCCTAGCGAAATAGGTTTTTTTTAAGTCTAAGCATTTTTAATGAAGTCCCTCTAAAAATAAAGAACATCTGTTATGTATACTGTGATTGAGATCACTTGCATTTTATTGGTGTTCCAAGAATTTTCCTGTGATACAGATTATAGCTAACTTATGCCAGGGATACTTTTTGATTATTTGCCATCAACTTGGTTGACTCTTTATGATCACATGGAGAGATTTTCTCCCCAAATTAGTTCTTCAGATTTTCTAATGTACGGTACATCCATCATCAGTGCAATTGAGTGAATTCATATTGCTGCGGCTTCTGTCCATCTTTTTATTTAAGAGTCCTGTTCATTTATTTCTTTGGGAAGTGGCCTATAGTTTTATCATCAACTTAAAGGTGTCCTTCAATTATATCAAGGAGAAGCTACTTGTTGCAACTGCAATTTAAAATCAACATCTAACATGAAGATTGTGGAAATCATTGTCTTATTTTAAATATATTTATTATTTGTTTTACACTCAGTTGCAGTGTTCTATAGAACATATATTAAAAGATAAGTAATGCAAGGTGAAATAATGTTGTATATACTTTATTTTAGGAACTAATATGCCATTTAAACTAAAAAATTCTTTTAATGAATATATTTGTTATTTAAGTATAAATGCAATTTGTATTTATTTCACAAAGCTCACACAAAGCCTTTTTTTTAAAAAAAAATTAAACTTAAGCAAATTATAAAGATCAAATGTCACTAATACTGATAAGAGTTCAGAGATCTAGTTTTCTTCAGTAAACAGATTATGATGGTTGTACTTTTAGGCGATGAAGTATTAGAATGGAATGGAAGGCTTTTGCAAGGAGCCACTTTTGAAGAAGTATATAACATCATTCTTGAATCCAAACCAGAGCCACAAGTGGAACTTGTAGTTTCAAGGCCAATTGGGTGAGTTATATTATAGAATGCTTCTTTAATTATTTAAAATTTGCACATAGCCCCATTAATATTCAAGCTGAGTTTATATCATGCAAAAACAAAAAGATTAGACAAGATTTAGTGTTCTGTAAACAATTAATATTCATCCTTATTTTACTTCCTTTTAATACTCTAACAACTTGATTACTGTAAGGTTTATTGATATCAGTTAAATGTGATCTCCTCCTCATGGAAAGTTTTATTTTTTTTTAGCTTTTTAAGACAATGAAGATCACCCATATATTTTTCTATATTGCATTTTATACAACTGAAAAGAAGACAAAATACTGTTTTCAGTTTGATGTTGATATTCAGAAACTTATTCTGAATAAGTATATTTTTGGAGCTTCAAGTGTTCTGTTATGCTTCCCTTATTTTCGCATTTATTATATGCTAGCTGGCTGTGCTGGCTAAATACAATATGTTAAATTTTATTCTTCATAATTGCAGAGATATTCCCAGAATACCTGACAGTACGCATGCACAGTTGGAGTCCAGTAAGTTTTATTTGTTAGATGTAATATCCATCTGAAAATTGAGGTATAGCTACTACTCTGTTTCTACATACATATCTTTGTTACGTTTTACTCGTTCTTTAATAACTATTATGTCAGAAATCAGCTTTTCCTTTATACTGACTTTCTAAACTTGTTTAAGTTTCCATTTTTATGGCTTTAGGAAAATTCAAACATTAAGTATATCACACAATTGTCAGCAGTTTTAGTGTTTTACTAGCACAGCATGAAAAAAACAACAATATACTTTCTGGAAAAAGAAAAACACTCATTTTTATAATTTGTTTTTCTAATTGTAAAATATTACTTCAGTTTATTTAATCCAGGAGTAATTTGAGAAGCAAATCAAATCTTCTGAGCAGCCAAATACAGCCAAATATAGAGAATATGGCAAATTGCATAATTTAAGTGTTTAGATTGTCATGCTTTATAATATCTATAATTTATAATTTTTAATTATCTAACATAAATTTCAGTCAGTGAAATATCAATAAAATTTCTTTTTCAAATGAGGGATCTGCATTTGTTCAGCTTTAGCTGCATTGCTTTTATTTACTTAAAGTTCTATTGATATAATTTTGGGGTATATAATATATATAAATTATGAATTGTTACAAATAAAATATGAACACCAGGAGAGTATAAATATAAAAATATACTTTACTAAAAGCTGCCAAGCTTTCGTTTGGAAACTCCAAACATCATCAGGGCTAAGGAGCCAGTAAACAATGATGACTTAAATGGGTTTTGCCAGCATCTGCACCCGGCTCATGGACCGCGTCACCAGTCCCGGCCGGTTAATTAGTGTTCCAGATGTTTCTTTATTACTCTCCTTACGCTTCCGTCTATGGTTCTTCCGGATCATTCCTTCCACTATCTCATTACTGGCATTCATCTCCTCCACCACCCCTTTGTCCTTATTTCCTTCCATAGTACTGACCCTCCTCTCCTTTTTGTTTTCATTTTCTACCCTGGGGGCATCTGTTTCTCCTCTATCAGTGTTACAAGCTTCCCTGGGCTCACAGACGCTCCCCCCCCCACACACACGCTTTTCTCAATCCCTGCTCCACACCCTTTCTTCTCACTCTTCCACTGTCATGAGTAACTTTCACACGGGTGTTGCATATTTGGGGGTCTATGCCTTCCTCCTCCGTCCTGGCAATCTTCGTGTTGACAGTTCTCCACTGTTCCATTTGTTTGCTGCGTGATCGGGTGCTTACTTCGTCTCTCAGTTCATCATCCCCCTCCTGCCTATCACATGCCCTTCCCCATTGCTGATAGGAATGGTATTCAGGCGGACACCAGGTCTCCAGATCTCTGCATTCTGATTCCCCGCGTTCTCACTCTCCTCTCCTGTGCTCATCTTTGGGGGGACTTCAAAGTGTTCGTCCCGGGGGGGGGCTGTATTGTTGGTGGGGGTATTCCTTGTCTGCAGAGGGTCCAGGCAGAACACCGTGTCTCTCCCTTTCACCGTATGCCTAGGCAATCGAGCCGTGCTTTCGTTCTTCTTCTTCCCCCCCTTTTTTCTTTTGATCTCCGTTGACGTTCCCCACAGCGTCAGGCTGCAGACTCCTCATGCTGGATCTTCCACACTCTCCACAGTTGTTGTTAAGTTCCAGGGGTGGGGGTCTATCGTGGTGATATTGGGGAAGGAGGAGGTCTTCCATCAGTGGATGATTACGTGTGTTTGACAGTGGTGGCCTCCTCAGACATTCATTAGAGCGGTATTGGTGTTGAGCCGGGTGCAGATGCCGGCAAAACCCATTTAAGTCATCATTGTTTACTGGCTCCTTAGCCCTGATGATGTTTGGAGTTTCCAAACAAAAGCTTGGCAGCTTTTAGTAAAGTATATTTTTATATTTATACTCTCCTGGTGTTCGTATTTTGTTTGTAACATAGACATGCCCAGGAGTTGTATTTTTATGCAAATTTTCCAAAATTATGAATTATGTATCTGGTAATTTAATGAATTAAAATTAATTACACTTTCAGGTTCTAGTTCATTTGAATCTCAGAAAATGGATCGGCCTTCCATATCAGTCACTTCTCCCATGAGTCCTGGCATGTTGAGAGATGTTCCACAGTTTTTATCTGGACAACTTTCAGTATGTAAACATTTGTTGAGTGTTGTAATCCTTGGTTTTTATCAGTAATTTTTTTCTTAAATGACAATGTCAAGTATGCATTAAAATTGTTTTACCTTGATTTCTTTTTTCATTCAGTTTTTTTTCTCAACACAAAGTAGTGTACAGATATTTTTTAAAGTAAATGGAATATGTACATGTTAATTCTAAATCCATTGAATATTATATGTAACAGAATTGTATCTACATGCACCAACTATAAACCAATATTCAAGGGGAATACAATCGTCTATTGATAGAATTAGATAATTAGATGTCTGTGTACAGTAATTAGCCCACCCACACAATTTTCCTGGCAGATAGTTATGTCAGAGATTGGTAGCCTTTTTTTCAAGGCAATACCAGTTAACCTTGACTTGGTCTTTGATTGAAGTACCAGAAGATGCTTTTCAAAAAGTAGGCATGTCTTGATCCACAATAATATAATCTAATTAAATTGAATTAATGTGTTTACTCCCTGTGCAGTTAATCATTTCCCTTTTCTAAAATACTAAATATTAAAATAAAGTAATTTTTTTTTTTGAGTTCTCAGGTTCTTAGTTTGTCATAGGGCTGTTTTGGTTATTTCTCTACCAGCTCTTTTTTCTTCTGTTTTTTTATTTTGAAATAATAATAATGCTTCCATTCTACAACATATCCAGACAAGAAGGACAGTAGAACAGTTTTCAACATTCTTTTAATGTGTAACAAAATTTGTACACATTTACATTGGAGATTGGGCGAGTGGGTAGTATGTACTTGTGCCATGTCTTTTCCGCAGTATTAGAATCATTATAATATTTTGCACATGAATATACTGCAAAAGTATAAAAGAGATTACAATTTTACCTATATCATTATTACATCTTAGGTGGATAACTATTTAAGTCTGGGGTGATAATGTGCCCACAGATGCCATTTCTCTTTTGCTGATTATATAGTAATCATACAAAATTACCATTCATCATTTTCATTCTTTGAAAGATCTTTGAAAGGCTATACTTTTTGGAAAAGACATAAACAGAGTACATTTGAAATGATGAGTAGAATTTATGACACCAGGGCTGGTAGCATGAAACAATTATCTAAGTGTATCATATTAGTTTTCTGAGCTAACACACTGAAATATAAATTACTTTGTAGCATACTTAAGCTATGATGAAATAATTTGTAATCTAGTAGTGTACTGTGAACATACCTATTTTTGTTGAAAACTGTGCTTTTTAAGAGTTTTTGAATTAGAAAGGGTCTGATTTATTTGAAACTATGCAACAGTAGCATGTTTACACTTACTTTTGACCCAACATGATGAATTATATTTATTTATTATATCTCTGCTCCTAAAATACTTACTGTAAAATCTCAAGATTGCAAATCATCTTATATCAATGCTCACTGATATAATAATGAATATTAAGAATAAGAAAAGAAAGCACAAAGATGTGGTCTTCTTTCCCCTAGCATTATTGCTGCAAGGTTATTGGAGGTTGGTTTTATGAGGGAGGACATAGTTAAGCTGAAACAGGTTCTGAGATAGTCTTTAATCATATTTCTCTTTAGACCAAGATTATAAAATTTGTATAATTTTCCATTATACAAATGTGTGTGTGTGTGTGTGTGTGTGTGTCAGTTAGAGAGAGAAAAGAGTTCCTTGTCTGGAATAATTCAAGCAAGTCCCTAAGCATATTATGGGAGAATGCTAATCTAATCCTATAGAAAGAAAAGAGAGAATGAAGATAATGATAGATAATAGTTTCTGCTGACTTTTCCAAATTTTATCTTGGATAAATAACAAATTATGTGGCCATATAAATTTACAGGTAGTTTTCAACTTATGACCACAGTTGATCCCAAAATTTATATTATTGAGACATCTGTTATGTGAGTTTTGCCCCATTTTATGACCTTTCTTGCCTCAGTTGTTAAGTGAATCAGTGCAGTTGATAAGCTAGTAACCTGGTTGTTAAGTGAATCTGGCTTCCCCATTGACTTTGCTTGTCAGAAGGACGCAAAAGGTGATCATATAATCTTGAGACAATGGTCACAAATATGAACCAATTGTCAAGTCTCTAAATTTTGACCATATGATTATGGGGATGCTGAAAAAGTCATAACTGTGAGAAATGGTCATAAGTCACTTTTTTCAGTTTTATTGTAACTTTGAACAGTCACTAAACAAACTGTTGTAAGTTGAGGACTACCTGTATTAGACTATTTAGAATTCACCAAAAATGAATTTCAACATTATGAGATGTTATTTAGTTTTGAATATTTCATGTGCACATTCCATATATTAACGTACTCACCTATATTATTTGACATATACTTCAAGCTTTTTATAATTAGGGAGACTTGTTTTGCCCGTATATTGCAGTTCATTCTGATGCTGGATAGAGAAGTTTTTTTTTCTTGAGCAGGAATTGAGAAAGGATGTAGAACTTAGAAGAGTTTTTGGTAGATGTTCCCTTGCAAATCTCTCGGTGGAAAAGAACGAGACTATTCCCATTCATTGTAAGGATGTTTATTTTCGCTCTTATTTATTTTATACTGTAAAATGTATATAGCTGCCCATCTTAAATACTAATTAAATGTTACATAAAATACATATTAAATATTAATACCTTGGGCAGCAAATAGTACATAAAAAACCACATAAAACCATAATAAATTAAAATACTACAGTACATATGGCATTACATAACTTTCATAAACACATGATGCTTGATGAGAAGACTAAGAGGAAAACTTGGGAGGGGAGATTGTTTCATTTGGCAGGGGCTGTGACAAACAAGACATATTTCCTTTTCCCCTTGGAAAATGGCACTGTTTGATACAGGGCTGGGAGCATGATTGCCCTGTTTGATTTGATGGAATGGACAGAAACCCTTAGAGCAGGGGTGTCAAACTGCCGATCCATAGGCCGGACATGTCACCCAGAAGCCACATCCACCCGATTGCTGGCAATGGCAAAACTGTCCCGATACATTGAGCGAAGTCATGTGATGTCGCGAGTTTGACATGTCTGCCTTAGAGATAGATGGTCCTGCAAATAAACTAACTCTGTGCCATGTAGTGCTTTAAAAGTGACAACCAACACCTTGATTTGTACCTGGAAGCCAGAGTAGCTTGTGCAGCAGTGATGTTGCATGAGTGAACTTTGAAGAGCTGGAGACTGGATGCACTGATGCAGAATGCAACAGGGCATATTTTGTCTGTCCCACAAAAAGGTACTCTTTGTGATGCTTTTGAGTGTTCTTCAAAAACAGCTCTGTGTGGAAGACATTGTAGTAATCTAACCCGGAGGTTTCTAAGACATGAGTAACAGTGACTAGAACCTCACATTCAGGAACAGCTGCAACAGGCACATCAAATTAATTCATGCAAAAGTCCTGTGGCCATGGTTGCCCTGTATTTTTCAAGCAGGAGTCATGAGTCCAAGAGGATTCTCAGATTGTACATCAGTTCTGTTTGGGAGAGTGCTACCTCAAGATAAAAAAATCACCATATCCAGGGTGCCTAAAAACTCAAAGCCACCCAGTCTTGCCAGCCTTGAGTTGCAGCCTGTTCTTCCCCATCCAGACCATCACAGCCTCCAGGCATTGGATGAGAACTTCAACAGTATCCCTTATATGGCTGGATGCCATGATCTTGGTTTTCTTAATATTGAGTTTCAATATACAGCCAGATATACAAATACAAATCTTGAGTATCATCATATTGATATTTTTTCACCTTGTACCAACAGATGGTCTTACCAAGTGGTTTTATGTAGATATTAAAATAGTATGGTGAGAGGTGAGTCCTGAGGCATCCCATATAGGAACAGCCTAGGGCTAAATCTTTCTTTGACACTGAGTTGAACTAGCCCCAGAGGAAGAGAACCACTGCAGAACAGAGCATTCCCAATCTCTAAAGTTATTCCAGAAATATATAATCAATGACATCAAAAGCTGTGAGAGGTGCAGAAGGGCAAGGAGGGATATGTTACCTCCATCACAAGCCTTTCATTCCTCAGCTGATGTTAATGTAATGATTTTGAATAGTCTCTGATACCTTTTCTTGAAACAGACTAGAAAATCTGACTGCGAATATATTTTTAAATACTTCCAAGCATCGCTAACCTTTTAAACCTTTGTCTTTTCAAATAGAGAAACTGAGGATCAACAACAGCTATATGGTGGTGCTTAAAAATTTGTGAACCCTTTTAATTTTCAATCTTTCTGCATAAATATTACCTAAAATGTAATCTGTTTTCCACACAAATTCTAAAACTAGGTAAAGGGAATAAATTATACTTGTTTATTTATTTATTGAGGAAAATTATATATACTATATTGTATTTGTTAATGCCAAAAGCTTTCAATAACTGGTGGTCAACCCTTGCAGCAATAACTGCAATTAAATGTTTCCAACAACTGCACTTTTAGCCTGTTCCTTCTTACAGAACAGTTTTAACTCAGAACATTGATGGGCTTCCTCACATGAATTGCCCATTTCAGATCCTTCCATGGTATTTCTATAGGATTATAGTCAGGATTTGACTTATCTATTCCAAAACATTAACTTCTACTTTAACTATTTTTTGTTCAAATATCTTGTATGTTTTGAATCATGATCATTATCCGTTTTCTCTTAAAATTTAGTTAATGAACAAATACACTGACATTTTCCTGTAGAATTTGCTGATACTATTCAGAATTCATCATTCCATCAATGATGGCTAGTTGTTCTGGTTCAGAAGCAGCAAAGCAGGCCCAAACCATGTTATTGCCATCACCATGTTTCACAGATGAGATAAGATTCTTATGCTGGAATCCAGGGTTTGCTTTTCACCAAACATAATGCTTTTCAGGCAGTATTTAGACTTTAGTGACATTGATCTAGCACAGACTTTTTGATGTTTCAGGAAATTGTCAGGAAATTCCTCTTTAGTTCCAGATTGAATCTCCCTCTGACAAGTTTCCATCCATCACTTCTTGTCC